TCTGCTGCTTCTCGGCTTCTCTTTCGGCTTCGGCTTCTGCTTCTACTGCTGCTACTGGTGCTGGTGCTGCTGCTGCTGGCGTCCCCGTGACGCCGCCCTTAAAAGCACAGTCTTAGCTCAGCTGAATCCCATCTACCTATGCCCACACCCTATTCCAGGTGCCCGCCATCAGGCATGCATTCAGGACAAGGATCCATCATCTATCCTGATGGCTGAAGGGCAGAAAAGCCTGACATTTTCTTTACCCTACACCTGTCATAACAATGGTAAAAGTATATGTACTCTTCTGAATCTTAGTTTTTCATTTAATATGTCTTGGTGGTAATTCCCTATCAAAGAGATATAAAAAGATCCCTAATTATATATTTTATAGCTGAAAAGTGTCCCACTCTATAACTATGTCATAATTAATTTAACCAAATTCCTCTTGGTGGATTTTTAAATTTTAAAAGTTATTTATATTTTTTTCTAATAAGAACAATGTTGCAATGAATAACTTTTTATATACATCATTTTGAACAGGCTCAGATGCCTCAGCATACATCCTCAGAAGTAGATTAAATTGCCATGTCAAACAGCCTGGGTTTGTAACTTTGATAGGTATAACAGTTATTAATAATAGCAAAACAATAGGCTATTATGGAGTTTTCACAGAGGAAAAGTTTCGTGCAGATAACTTTTGCATAAATGCAAAATCAGTAAGACTTCCACTCTACTATCCAGGAAAAAACAAGATGTAAAAATAACTAATTTACAAAATAGTGCCATTTGCATCAGAGTGAAAAGGAGCTAGATTATAAACTCCATTAAAAAGAGAGAGCCTAGCTTTTTTGGTCGCCTCTCTTCTGTGACCAGCACAGGGCTCAGTACTTAGTAGATTTTCAGTGACTATTTGGGCAAGTCAATGGGTGAGTTAGTGAATGCAGAGAATGAGTTCAGAGAATGGTCAATCCATTTTTGTTGAATGAATCAATGAATGAATTCAGAGTGTAGGTGAGTTAGCTGGGCTGATGAGTAACGTCGTCACCCAGGGCTGGTGATCGTCCCTCTCCTGCAGTCCACACATTACTCTGAAAAGTCATGTCAAATTTTAATTTTTTTTAAGATTTATTTTTTATGCATACAAGAACTGGGATACAGGCCAGAGGTATGGGGATAAGAGGACTCACCAGAGACAGAGTGGGAACAGAACAGGCAGATTGACAGAAATACACTGCTGAGGGAGCAGCGGGTGAGACAGGAGAGGTCTGCTGTGCCATGTGGTTTCTCCCTGGCCGGGGATCGAATTTGTGCTGTAGTGGCTGCAGATTGCCTCATAGGTTGTGTCTTAATCCCTTGTACCACCAGGGAGGCCCTCAAATATTAAGTTGTTAAGTCATAACTTTCTCATACAGCTTTTTGTTTTCTCAAGATTTCTATTTATCTTTCTTTTTGTTGATCGGAAGAGACTTGTAATTTCAACTCACCAGGAGCAAGCGGTTATACTTCTGGGTTATGCATCATATTGTTTGTGTGATTTCCTTAGATATATTCTTCAAGAACTGTTCTGACTTTTGGTTATAATTTGAACTTGTTGCTTTCCAGTTGTGCAGCTGTCCTGAAGCTTCTTTTCATCACTGTTTGTTATAGTCAATGTCTTTGTCTTTTGGATTTTTCAGTTTTGTGCTAGTAAATTATTTTTCCAAAAAAGTGGAGTTCAACTTTTCAAGTATTAACATGTCCCCCAAAATCTTGACTTTGCTTTTATATATGAGATGTTTTGACTAGTTATAGACTTCCAGATTTTTAAAATTTTATTTATTTATTTTTAAAGATTTGTTTATACAAGAGCTGGGATACAGGCTAGAGGCATGGGAGGGTGAGAGGATTCACCAGAGACAGAGTGGGGAGCAGAACAGGCAGACAGACTGAAGTCACTGCTGAGAGGAGCAGCGGGCGACACTGGAGAGGTCTGCCCCGCTATGTGGGTTGCTCCCTGGCTGGCCAGGAATTGAACCTGCGCTGCAGAGGCTGTGGACAGCTCCACAGCGCAGCGCTCAACCCGCTGCGCCACCGGGGAGGCCCCGACTTCCAGATTTAAAATAATATTCTCTATAAGCTTGAAGTATTTTAGCATCATGTCTATCAACTTGTGTTACAGATGGAAAGCTCGACACTATTCATGGACCTCCTCCTTATTCTCTGAAGAAATGTCACTAGAACAGGTCGGTGTGAGAGAGAGAATTCTTTTCCTCCTTCCCTCCCCCTCTCTCTCACTTTCCCCTTCATCTTAGTTCACGATTTTCTGGTAGTTCTACTTGACAAATATTTAATCTCCTGAGCTAGCATCTCCAAATTAATCTTTCTCTCATGTTTCCAATGGATGCAGAGGACTTAGAATGTTTGTCCCAGGGCCTCCTCCCCTCACCAGAACAGAGAGGTGTCCATTCAGGCCTCCTACACAGTAAGACCAGTTGGGGAAACAGAGCTGAAACATCGCTGGAGGAAACTCATTGCAGCTATTTAAAATCAACTTGGTTTCCTGATTAAAACCCTTCAATTCCATTGTAAAAGTGTCAGGAGGTGAGGCCAGATAATGAAAGAGCTTTGTGCAAGAGACTTCTGGGGTTCATCCTATCTGCTTCTCCTCTACTTCCTGAGCTCAAGGAGGATTAGATTTCCTGGTTTCCTGCTGGACAAAAGTTAACAATTTTGAGGAGTAACTATATCTTTTAACCTTTGTAAATGGGTTTATTAGTGAGATGAGATTCCTAGTTCTGATAAACACTAAAACTGAAAAATGAATGGTCTAAAGTAACAACAAACCACATTTATTATAAGTAGGTCCCTTCTTCTCATCGGGGAACTTGACTTCAGATGTGATTTTAAACAATAGATTTATCATTACTTTTATTGCCTTATTTTTAATAAATATTATGTTTTCTAATATTGTTTTGTTTCATGTGACTTTTTTTTATGATTAGGTTACTCTCCATCATGTAGGAGGTAATATTTTTCCTTTATGTTAGTGATGTAAGGTCTTCATTGAAAATAATTATTCTTATATGTAAAAAGAAATGTTATTGAAGGAAAACAGTTTTACAGCTTTGTCAAAAATAAAGAAGCTGTTACCAGAATGAAGCTTGGAAAAGTTTTATCCCAACCAACAAAACTCTCAAAATCACTTAAAACTCTAATATGCCTTGCTTAAATATTTCTACTTTAAAGGTAAGCTTTGGCTGTGCTTATTAATAAAGCAAATTCTAAGCCTCATGATGGACACTTGCCTTACATTCCTTTATTCCCTACCCATATGCTGGTGCTACAATAGATCTACATGGAGTAATTGTGGATAATTAGTTGATCCTCACTTCTCTTGTACTTATTCCTTTGCTGGCCTGGGTGTATGTACCTGCACAAAATTAGGTTTTTCTTTTGCAAATATTTTCAAATACTTAGAATTACACTTAAATTCCAGAATAAATAGCTTAAAAAGTTTCTTTCTTTCTTTCTTTCTTTTTTTTTTTTAAAAGATTTATTTATTCATGCATACAAGATCCGGGGTACAGGCCAGAGATGGGGTGGTGAGAGGATCCACCAGACACAGAGTGGGGAACAGGCAGACCGAGTGAAACACACTGCTGAGAGGAGCAGCGGGCGAAGCAGGAGAGGTCTGCTGTGCCATGTGGGCCGCTCCCTGGCTGGCCGGAGATTGAACTCGTGCTGCAGAGGCCACTATTGCTTCACAGTGTGGTGCCCAACCCCCTGCGCCACCAGGGAGGCCCCTTCTTTCTTTTTTTTAAAGCATATCCAGAGATGCAACACCTTCCAATTCCGTTTTCAGAGGGTAGAACACCAGCAGAGGAAAGGTGGTTGACTAAACTATCATCATTTACTGTCTGACTAGGACTCAGGGATTCCCATCCCCTTCCACGATGTTGGGGAGAGGGGAGGAGTATGCATACATTTGTATGCTGGTGCAAAATATAATGGTGACTTAGGATCATAATTCATATAGCTAACTTCATGCTCTTTTTGCTATCACGTTTCTGACAGTTCCACGAAATATATCCCCTTTAGTAAATTGGGGGACGACCCCATCATCTGCCCTCCAGGGCAGGGGTTGCTCAGGAAACTGCAGAGGCCAATCAGGGTGCTCGCTGCCCCAGGACACGTGTCCTTCTCGCCTACGCAGGAGAGGATCCCCCGCCAGCGGCTGCGCCCAGGTCCTGGGGAGCCACTCAGCCCCTCCGCCGGCTCGCCCACCCCGCACACGCCCGGCGGCCACGGTCAGAGCCCGGGGGCGGTTTCTGTCCAGCTCAGCGTCCGGATCCCTAACAGGGGAAGGAACTGGGGACTCTCCCCGGGTGGGCTGCGTGCCAGGCAAACGGCTCTTAAATCGCCTCTTCGCTGAGGGACGAGGAACGTGACTGTGCAACACGAGCTCCCCCACTTGTTGCACAGGCCGCGCGTGTCATTTTCTTGACGCTTGATGATTCCCCAGGACGCGCCCAGCGACTTGCAAGACAGAGGAGCGAGCTTCACCCCGCAAAACCTCCTCGGACTGGCGGCCCTCGGGGGGTTGCCTTCTCTTGGCCGAGGTACCCCACAATCCCAGGAATCCCTCGCGTATTCTCCCAGCAGCGCCCTCCCAGGGGCTCTGACTTAGTGGTCCCGATCCCGCCCGTCTGCGAGGGCCTGGACAAATAGTCCAGCTCAACCCCACGGCACCCCTGGGACGTCAGGGGCAGCAGCAAGTGCAGGAGACCCAACCCGCGGAGAGCACTAGACAGTCTCGTGACTTCCCGCTTGGAGTTTGGGGTGCCCTCCTGCTAGGTGTTCCTAGTTTTCGCGATAGGTTGAAATAGCCGAGCCTCTGCCCCCAGGGCTCTCAGGCCACACCCCTGTATTGCCCCGAGGGTGTGGGACCTGGAGGGTGCAGAATTCGCGCCGGCGCAGAGCCTTCCGGTGAAGCTGCCTTCGCCCTGATGACGCGTCACCGGTTGCTATGGAGACTGCGCTGTTTACCTCGCGCTTCTGCTAGAGCCCAGGCATCAGCTGGGATAAGAAGGCTCCTATTCGGAGTTTGTGTAGTAGTTCTTTGTGGCAGTGCGGTAAGTAAACACCGTCTTCACCACGGCCCCTACTTAAAGGCCTCATTGGGATCTGCCAAATTTAGCCCTAATACAAACTTCTCTGTATTAAGGAGTTACTCAGACTTATTCAGGAGTCTTGGCTTAAATTTTCAACATCCAAACTCGGAAAAAACTTGGGAGGAACCATTGGAGGGACTGGACTTGAAAAAATGGGGATCCCATGTTATCTGAGGGGGCTGGGTGGCCTGGGGTCCTCCGCCTGGACAAAATCTGATTCTAATTAACTGCTTGGGTATATGAAGGGGTTCAGGGATCCAGAAACCGCTAAGAGTAGATGCTCAGGTTTTTGCAGGGATTTGGTGTGTGTGGAGGGGTGGTGGGGGAGGAGTGGGGGTGCGGTGGCAAATGTCTGTGGAAAGCAGTTTTCAGGGTCAAACAGAGCTGTGTGCAGTTGAGGTGAGGAAATTTTAGTGTTCTTGTTGTTGGCAGCCTCTGCCTGTTCCCTTCTCACGTTTTCCCCTTCTTTCCTCACTTCTGTGTCTGGGAAGTTTCTAGATTCTTTTTATCTGCTGATTAGACACCACTTCCAGTTGTCAGTTTACAGATGTCACATTTGTTCATTTTTAAATGAAAATCTGTCTAGGTTCAGCTGTTTGGCAGTATTGTCTAACACCCTCTGACACAGAAATTCTAATGAATCATAAAAATGCATGCACATGTTCACCGAAAGACATGTATGAGAATATTCATAGCACTGACATAATAGCCCCAACCTGGAAACAACCCAAATATTCAAAAACAGAAAAGACAGATAAACATACTTTGGTTTTTTCATACAATGGTATACTGTACAGCGATGAGAATGAACAAATGCAACTATATGAACAATACAGATGAATCTTACAAACATAATGTTAAGCAAAAGAAGTCAGATATAAAAGATCACATGCTATATGATTCCACTTACATTAAGTTCAAAACAGCAAGATTAATTCATACAGTTAAAAGTCAGGCTGGTGGTTATACTGTGGAGGTGTGGGTGGCGAATAGGGCTGGCGAGGGCATGAGGTGCTGGTGGTGCTTATTTCTTAATCTGGGTGCTGTCTAAACAGCTGTTTTCATTTTGGGTGCAGAATATGATTTATCCCCTTTTTGGTACATATGCCCCTTTAATAAAAATTGACATTTAACAAAGGACAAATTAGTTCAGTTAATCTAAAGTCTGCTTTTGATCAGCACTTTGGAAACCTCAAATGGCCAAATTACTACAGTCTCCACCAAAGTTCCTGCGCTCAGAGTGGCTTGTTGCTAACAAGAACCAGTACCATCAAGCAGAGGCCCAGAGGTCCAAGTCTGAACGCCTGGTTTCAGAAAGCCAGAGACTTGTGGATGAAATTGAAAAAAGCACAAGAAAATCTCAAAGTGATGTGAACAAGAAAATAGGTAAGATAATGGGCTTGGTGTATTTATGATCATATTTGGATGAGATTGTTGGGGTTTAACTATATTGTTATTTGAATTTCAGGTTAGGAGTGGCAATATATTCAACTTGAAATATTAGGGAAAATTGTGTGTTTTCCGTGTCCTATGTTTGAGTTCATTGTTCTAAGATAGAAACATGGCAACCCAGTTTGACTTTCAGCCACCCATCATCCATCATTGATGGATTGATTTGATGAATATTTATTGTGCCTCTAGGAGCATCTATGGACTAAGCACTGGGAATATCTAAGGGAATGATGAATGTCTGCTTTTTAGGGGCTTCTGCCTTGAGGAGGAAAAAGATGCAAAAATGAATAATCAGAGTATAGCCAGATAAGCGATCAGGTAAAGTTAGAAAAGTAGAGATGGGACAGGTACTGGAGAACTGGGAAAAATTTCCTAGAGAGGAACATTTGGGCTGAGTCTTAAAGGAATAATTTTTTCTTGATTTTGACCCCCTCTTTCTCTTGACCCCCTACTTAAAAACACCGCTTAAAGGGTGGTACCCTTAAATAAGTAAGGTAAAAATCAACTCAACAGGAAACAGAACCACCTAAATACAAAAAACTGATAACCAGAGATCACAAATGGAACTGTCTATAAGGGCTGGGTAAGTAACACACCGGGGGTTGAATAAGACCTCCTAAGACAATAGGAGTGGCAAGGACTGTGGGGACATGGGGAACACTCACTCCATCTAAGGAGGAAGCTATTACTCAATTTCAACCTGGGTTTTTTTTTTTAAGAAACATTAAGGCCCCCAAAAGCTGGATTTTACCCACTTTTTAAATATTGGAAACTGAATTAATGTATTACTAACACTGACCAGGAGGAACAAACACAACTGTGGATAAAACTGTCTAAGGATGACTAATTTTTTTTTTTTGAATATATATATTGATTTTTATTTTATTTTTTTTTAAATAAATATGTAGATTTATTAGATATCATAAAATTCCCCATGATGGAAGCTGTAATTATTTCATTCTCGCTAGCAATGAATGAAAATGCTTGTTTTTCTAGACTGCCTGATAGAGAGTGCTTTTTTTTTTTTTTTTAAATATTAAATTTTATTTTTATATTCCCCCATACAATTGCAAACGCCCCATTCTGACCCCAATCCTTCCCCTCCCGCCTCCCACCCCCCAAAAAGTGTCTCTGGTTCATAGTTTTTTGTTGATTTTGATTTTCACTTTCTTATATTCATTTTCCTGGTCCCTTATTTAAGTTTTCTAGATTCCTGCTATGAGTGAGACCATCCGGTATTTTTCTTTTTCTTTCTGGCTTATTTTGCTGAGCATGATCCCTTCCAGTGCCATCCATGTTGCTGCAAATTGCATGTGTTTATCTTTTTTGAATGCTGAGTAATATTCCATGGTATATATGTACCACATCTTCTTGATCCAGTCATCTATTTTTGGGCATTTGGGTTGTTTCCAAAGCTTAGCTATTGTAAACAGTGCTGCTATAAACATAGGGGTGCAGGTGCTCTTTGGAATTGATGTTTCTGTGTCCTTTGGGTAAATACCTAGGAGTGGAATTGCTGGATCATATGGAAGCTCTATGTTTAGTAGGTCCAGAAATCTCCACACAGCTCTCCATAGTGGTTGGACCAGTTTGCACTCCCACCAACAGTGCACAAGAGTTCCTTTTTCTCCACATCCTCGCCAACATTTGTTGTTGCTAGTTTTTTTAATATGTGCCATTCTCACTGGTGTGAGATGGTATCTCATGGTAGTTTTGATTTGCATTTCCCTGATTACAAGTGATGTTGAACATTTTTTCATATGTCTGTTGGCCATTTGCATTTCCTCTTCAGAGAAGTTTCTTTTTAGCTCTTCTGCCCATTTTTTGACTGGATTATTTTCTTTGTTGTTGCTGAGTCTCATCAGCTCTTTGCAGATTTTTGTGATCAGTCCTTTATCATTAGTGTTGGGTGCAAAAATGTTCTCCCAGTTGGTGGGGTTTCTCTTTGTTTTTGTTATTGTCTCTTTTGCTGTGCAGAAGCTCTTTAATTTGATGTAGTCCCAGCTGTTTATCTTTCTCTTCACTATCACTGCTTTGGGTGATGTGTCTGTAAAGATGTCTTTGATGTGCAAATCCCGTAGTGTTTCGCCTACATTTCCTTCTATGTATTTTATGGTTTCAGGTCTTATGTCTAGTTCTTTAATCCATTTTGAGTTGATTTTTGTGTATGGTGTGAGGTAGTGGTCAAGCTTCATTCTTTTGCATGTAGCGACCCAGTTTTCCCAGCACCATTTATTGAACAAACTTTCTTTGCTCCAATGCATAGTCTTTGCTCCTTTGAGGATGACTAATTTTTTAACCTCCAACAAACCAATGCATTCAGGTCAACAGTCTAGATGCCAGGCACTTGCTGGGGGTTGATCCTCACTCCTGATACCAGCTTATTGGCAGCCCCATTCTATATAACAGTGTGTATGGATAGGAGTTGGATATGCATGTGCACCATTCATTTTTCACAATTATTGTGTTTCACCCACACTCTTATGTTTATTATGGTACTATTTATAATAGCTAAGATATGGAAAAAACCTAAATGCCCCCAAACAGATGATTGGATAAAAAAGATATGGTGTATATACACAATAGAATACTACTCAGCAATCAAAAAAGATAAAGTCATGCCATTGCAGCAACAATTGATGAAGGTAGAAGGGATTATGCTGAGTGAAATGTCAGAAGACAAAAGAAAACTATGGTGGTTTCACTCATAAGAGGAATATAGGGAACCAAGCGAGAGGTCAGAAAAAAAAAAAAAGACAAAACTAGCAGGCAAGCTATAAATCAGAGACATTCTGCAGGAGAGGGAGAGGGATCAAAACGGGGGAGGGAAGAACACAAGAGACTATGGTGATGGTTCGCCGGCGTCTTGGTGATGGGAAATTTATGGAGATTACACCTGAGAGGAGAAGTCAAGCAGTGCACAAAAATGAACAATGATGTAAAAAAATATATATATTAAATAAAAAAAACTGTGTTTCAATAGGCATGAGAGCAAAGTTTTCAAGGTCTGAACCTTAACTTCACTGATTCATTGACTCATTAAAAAATTAGTGTCTTACTCTGAGACTACTTGAAGTTAAAAAATTTCAAGTATGTAGAAATAAACCTAACTCGGGCCTCCCCGGTGGCGCAGCGGTTGAGCGCTGGGTTGCGAAGCTGCCCGTGGCCTCTGCGGTGCCGGTTCGATCCCCGGCTGCTCCCCAGCCACCGGAGGAGGGTCCCACATGGCACGCAGACCTCTCCTGCCACCCGCTGCTCCCCTCAGCAGTGTGCTTCGGTCCTTCTGCCTGCTCTGCTCCCCGCTCTGGCTCTGGTGAATTGTCTCACCCTCCCGCGTTTCTGACTGTACCCAGTGCATGTATAAACAAAACAAAAACAAACAAATAAATAAATAAATAAAAACATGCCTCTATTAAAAAAAAAAATACTTAAAAAAAAAATAAACCTAACTCAAGCTGTGCAAGAATTCTACACTGAAAACTATAAATTGTTATTGCAAGAAATTAAAGAAATTCTAAATAAAATTAGCAGGGACTTGTCAGTTAATGGATTGGAACTCTCAATATTTTAAAGATGCCAATTCTCCTTAAGTTAGCCTATTGATTCTATGTAACACCAATGAAAATCTCAGCAGGTTTTTTTTTTTTGTTTATGTTGCAAACTGCTTCTAAAATTCATCTTCAGTTAGTAAACACTAACAAAAACAAAAAGATGCCCAAAAGATGTAGAAGAAAACATATCTTAGGCAGTTTTACACTGGTCTTCAAGTTTCTTTTCTTTTTTTTTTTTTTTAAAGATTTATTTATTTATACAGGAACTGGGGTATAGGCCAGAAGTGCGGGAGGGTGAGAGAATTCGCCAGAGATAGAGCGGGGAGCAGAACGGGCAGACGGTCTGAGAACACTGGTGAGGGGAGCAGCGGGCGAGACAGGAGAGGTCTGCCGTGCCACGTGTGTCACCTCCCTGGCAGGGAATGGAATCTGCGCTGCAGAGGCTGTGGGCAGCTTCACAGCGCTACTCTGCGCTCAACCGTCTATGCCACCGGGGAGGCCCTGGTCTTCAAGTTTCTAATGCAAAACTTGGCTACCTCGGGAGTAGATTCATCCTGGCATAACTTCTCTGTGTGCTTCAGAACAGAGACTTGAGGAAGTCAGGTTCTGGAAGAAGGAGTTAGATGACAAACTTGAGCAGCTTGTGTATGAAACTGAGGACCTGCTGTGTTATCAGACCAGACTGGAGAAAGCACTGGAGAGCTTAAAAGAGCCCCTGCATATCACTCAGACCTGCCTGGCATACAGGTAGGAGGGAAGGTTCCTCAAGTGAAGCATCTGTTGTGAGAAATGGAATGCCGGGCAGTAAAAGTTGATTTGCAATGTGGTAGATTAGGCTGAGGCAAAGGAGTGTGTCCTTTTAGACCTGGGCTGATCTTGGCATGCCGAGGGTGCTGGGCAGGGGAAGGAGCACTGGTTTTGGTCCATGTCTAAATTCCACTATTGACTAACTTGATTGTTTAGCTGAGGGTAATCAGAAAACTGCAAAATAACATTGAATTTAAGATAATTCCTTTTCTCTCACACTTAAGGGCTGTGGAGATAGTTCAGGCACTGGGCTTTCTCTCTCTCTCTCTTTTTTAAATACAAGAACTGGAGCGTAGGCCAGAGGTGCAGGGGGTGAGAGGATTCACCAGAGACAGAGTGGGGAGCAGAATCGGCGGATCTACTGAAATACTCTGCCAAGGGGAGCAGGGCGTGAGACAGGAGAGGTCTGCTGCACCATATGTGAGTTAGCTCCCTGGCCAGGGATCGAACTCAGACCACAGAAGTAACAGCGCTGAGACTTAACCCCTAGGCCATCAGGGAGGCCCAACTTTTTCTATCTTGTTGCTTTACTGCATGTGGCTTTTACTTCCAAGTTTATCTCATGACTCAAGATATCAGCTGGAGCTCCAGTCATTGTTTACATGCCAGCAAGTAGGAATAATTAGGGCTTGGCATTCACCATTTCTGCACGCTTCTCATTTACCAGAACTTAGTCATGTGGCCACACCAGTAGAAACTGGGAAATGGTAGTCTTTATAATTTACCAGTTACTAGAAGACAAGTCTGCCCCAATACACAGAGCCACATGGAAGCCTTTTGTAATCCAGAGAGCATGGTGAAAACATGCCTTTTTATCCTGAGATCCCTCCTACAAGGCCTATGACCGTCCTATGAGTGATCCTCTCTACTCTGGGGCAATGCTGGCTTCCAGACCTGTACCTGTTGCAGCTCTACTGGCATGCCTCAACAGATCTTCTTGCCCCCTCCAGCTCAGTGCTCCTCCACACAGACTGCTGAGTGAACTTCTCCAAATGTAGATTTTTACAGGTCATCTCTATACTTAAAATCCTGAATTACAACCCTGTGTCCTAATACCTTCAAGATAAAGTTCAAATTTCCAGCTTCACAGATAAGGTTCATTATAAAGGGCCTCCAGTGACTCTCCAGGTCCATAACTCACTCCCAACAGTGGGTTGTGCTTAGCTGTGCAGAACTACATGTAGTTTCCCAAACCATGACTATCCCTGCCTTTCCCTCTCCCTGGGAGGCCCTCATCAGTGAGCTTAGCCAGGACCCTCTGGAGCACTGGCAGCAAAGGGATGTAGAGATGATCAAAGAGGCCAATAGTCATGGGCTCAGGTTGCCTAAGGACGATTAGAATGTCAAGGTGGCTGAGCTGGTGGAGTATGTGACACTGTGTGTGGGGCACTCCGTCTGCTTTCATACCTATTGTTCCTGGCCACAACCCATGAAGCACTAATAATTACCCAATTCACAGGAGATGAAACCAAGGTACATCACATGCTACGTAACATGTTACATAACATGCTAAGGTCACACAGCTGGTGAATATGGAGCCTTCCTCCTAAGTATTATCATGCCAGGTGGAAGAGAACAATATATGGCAGTGACTGGTCAATTTGGGGAGTAACACACATCACATAGTGGTTAATGCATAATGCCCAGTTCTGTGATTTTAGGTAAGTTACTTTCCTTCTCTGAAACTCAGTTTCTGCACATGTACTTGAGAGGGTTAAGTGAAAATACTCATATAAAAAGCCCAATCACACAGTAAGTACTCAGTGGTGGGGGTAATATTAATATTGACATTATTATTATGAAGCATTTTTCTGGATTCAAATCCTTGTCAAAAATCAGGCCTGGGATCAAGGAAGGCATTCTAAATAGAAAGACGATGTTTCCAATAAATAGTTCAGAAGGAAATGCCTTCAGAACTGTTGGGCCATTGAGGGCAAAACTCTTGGCATTTTCTCAAGCTAAGTGACAGTCATTGATCAACTTTTCTTCATTGTGTTTTCAATATTTTCATGTCACATAGACACAACTCATGGGCATTCCTCTTCATATCATCTAGGCAGGTTGGGGGATCCTCAGACCAGCTCTCCAGACTGAGATGTCCAGATGTCAGCACCTCCCTCCAAGCATCAGGTGACCTGTGACTTTCTCTCCATCAGGGAGAAGCGAATTGGCATTGACTTGGTGCATGATGAAGTGGAAGAAGAGCTGATAAAGGAGGATGAGATCATGCAGGGCGTGAAGTCCCTGCTGACCCGCACTCTGGAGGAGACATCCGAGCAGATCAGGTACAGCTGTCATGTATAGCTTGAGTCCTACAAGCACTTTCCATGCCTGGAGGTGACAAGGGGCATTCAGAATGAGGCCTGGACAACCTCTTGTACAAGACAGTCGCCCTCTGGTGGTGGGTCGCCATGGGGCCTGATTTCACCTCTGATAAACCAGAGCCATTCTTGCCAGGCTGACCTCTCATATACTGTATGCTACCGCAGTGATAGCAGAAAATGTCACAGTTGGAGGGAGGGAGTTCAAGTTCAAGCTTGGCTATTTAATTTGTTACCAAGCATGCATTGTGTGTGTGTGTGTGTGTGTGTGTGTGTGTGTGTGTGTGAGAGAGAGAGAGAGAGAGAGAATTGGGATGATGGTAGGTGGGGAGGAAGTGAGTTAGCATGGCCACAACGTACCAGACCTAGCTTTAGTTTCACTTTCCAAGGTCTACTGAGAACCTGTTGGAACCTCCTGGGCATTTCAGATGGAAAACCCTGCTTACCTTCTCCCTTCAGGCTGAACCGCTCTGCCAAATACAGTCTTGAAAAAGACTTGAAGGACAAGTTTATGGCCCTGACCATCGATGATATCTGCTTCTCACTCAACAACAACTCTCCAAACATCAAATATTCTGAGAACGTCGTGAGGGTTGAACCAAAGTGAGTGGGCCCCCGATGTCCAGTGGTGTGGTCTTCCTCCCCGCTGGAAACGCCCCAGCATTCTGGCCCAGGGTGCGACCTAGCACGTGTTCTGACAGCATGCTGGGAGAGAGCGACAGTCAGGAGCTGGGTGCCTATACCTGAGATAGGCCCCGGAGGCTCCTTGGTCCTCCAGGCTGGGTCCACTTTAAAAGTCTTATAGAAAGTCTTTAAACCTTTGAAAAATATCCTATCACCTATTCATGTTTTAAAACAAGCAAAATAATGTAAAAATATATAAAGGGTAAGTTAATAATGTCCCCATAGCTATGTAACGTCCCCATTCTTATACCCCTGAGACACCCAGTGTTATCTGCATTCACACCAACATATGCATACACACACGCAAATATTTTTTAATGCTATGTACCTTTTCTGTAACATCTGATTTAACATTTTTAAGTAATAGTACATCACAGACTTATTTCATTCTAATTTTCAAAACCTTTTTGAAATCAAACTTTCATGAAGAAAAGTACACAAATAATAATGAACATGTCACCTAATGAAGTATCATGTTAGTTATCTTTTGCTGTATAGGTTACCCCAGAACCTAACAGCTTAAAACAATACATGTTTATTATGTCCCAGTTGCCATGGTGTTTCCTCAATTCTTAACTTTTTCACAGTCAATTGCCTGCCAAGGATAACAAGTTTAAATTATGCATATGCCCTGTCTGGAAATTAAAAATTGCCTTCAAAAATGACACCTATAAAGAAGCCAAAAAACTGACGGAGTTCTTTGTCTCTGCATGTGCTGGTCACAATGTTATGTTCCTTTCCTGTAAAACTGCTCCTATGGCTACACTTTGTAGAAATACACCCTACAAGGATGTTAAAGCAGCAGCTGGCTGGACCCCTTTCTACCCACTCTCCTCTTCTGTGTTAATCCTCATTTTTGACTTCCAAGAATACTTTTTTTTCTCTCCACGGTATTATCATTTATCAGTCAACAGATTATAACACATTCAATAAAACAGGAAACCATGAATCCTTACTTACATAAACAAATAAATGAATAAATCCCTACTTTAACAACACTGCGGCATCTCAATATAATGTTGATTAGAAGAAAACTCACACATACACAATATAGTGTATGATGCTGTTTAATAAGCACAAGAGCAGGCAAAACAAGGAAGTCAGGATGAGGTTACACTCCAGGGAGGAGAGGGGGAACACTGATAGAAAGGGGATATTGATCCAGGGGGATACTGATGGATAAGGGGAAGGGGTTTCTGTGGTGGAAGTGATGTTGGATTTCTTGACCTGGTTAGGGATGGTTCTCTGTGACTAGAGGCAGCCTCTGAGACAGCCCCAAGGACCCCCACTTCCTGGGATTCACACCTTTGTCTAATCTCCACCCTGTTGTGCCATGGGGTGAGCTCATTGACTTGTTTATCACAAACAGAAGTGATGAGATGTCATTTTTTGGAAATGGGCTAAAAGAAAACTGTAGCTCTCTCTCTCTCTCTCTCTCTCTCTCTCTCTCTCTCTCTCTCTCTCTCTTTCTCCTGTATCATGTACTGCTGGTGGGCCAGCTGCCATGTCATGTCCCTGTGGAGAGGCTCACATGACAGATCTGCCCCAACCCAACCTGTCAGCTTACAAGTGGGCCTCACCAACCCCCAGTCAAGTTTCCAGGTGAGACTGTGGTCCCAGAGACAGTCTGACTACCACCTTGTGAAGCGTGAGCCCAAGGGACCTAGCTAGGAGTGTTAGTATGTGTTATCCTTGGCAGGCAATTGGCTGTGAAAAAGTTAAGAATTTAGGAAATACCTTTTTTCTGGTTGGATGTCTTCTGTGGGTTGCCCGGCAGGGAGGGAGGCCCAGACTTCCGGAGGTGATTCCACAGAGGATGACTGATAGGCAATGCCAGGGCTCCCTGCCAGGTCTTCACGGTGGGTTTTGATGTTCTACCACTGCCTCTATCTCTTTCTTTGCCCAAAACTTAGTCCACATCTTTTTTTGTTGTTGTTGTTTTCTTTCTCAATGTGTTGCTGTTATTATTTTAAGGCTCAATTGCCCCTCACCTGTGTGAGCTTGACTAAGTTACTGCATCTTTCTGAACTCAGCTTTCCTCATCTGTAAAATGGAAATTAAAAAGCCAGTTCACTTGGCCATCACGAGGATGATGAGATGATGTTTTATAATGTGCCATTCCATCCTGGCACAGAGTGGGTAGGTTTCCCAAAGTGACAGCTATTCCCACTGACCCTGCTCCTTTTTCCCTCAGATGGGGAAGCATTCTAGGTGGATCTGATGGTGGATTTCCAGGAGCATGTCCCCCTCCCCACAGCTCCTTTCCAAGCCCAGATAAGCCGTGACCAATGCATGGCTTCTGTTTCAGCTCTGTGAGTCTGGAGGACTGGTTGGAGTTCTCCAACACCAACGTGGAGAAGGCTGACAAACAGAGGAATAACTCCCTGATGCTGAAGGCCCTGGTGGACCGAATCCTGTCCCAGACAGCCAGTGACCAGCGCAGGCAATGTGATGTGGTGGACACAGCATTCAAGAATGGACTGAAGGAGACCAAGGATGCCAGGGACAAGCTGGCTGCTCATCTGGCTAAGGTGAGCTCCCTGGAGGGAACAAGAACTCAGAAGGTTTTACTGTAGAAATCCAGAAAGCTTTCTGGGCCAGGCTGTACCGTCTGGGCCTATGCATTGGATTGGCTAAAGAATGTGCGTCATTCCCATCTCTCCATCTTAGCAGCAGGCGTTGGGCTTTTGGAGACTGGCGTGGGATGTGGTTCATTTCTGGATCTGTTTTGCCACTGTTGTTGCAAGGAACATACTTATCTCCATTCTGGGCCTCAGTTCTTCCCTTCTGCAAGACGACCATGTGGTCTCAGATATCCTTTGTGATTCAGAAGTTCCATGAGTTGAATGCAGCCAATTGCTCCAAACCCATCAGCCGCTTTGGTATTGTGACTGCTTATCCTTCCAGTAAACTGGCTCTAAGGGGGAGGAAAAGGCCCTGATTCGTAAAATTTGCAGATCTCTGTGGTGTAAAAATGCTTTCTACATGGTAGATGTCTAGCTACCCATGGTAGATTTCTAGCCTGGTGAAAATCCTGAATATTGAACAATAAGAGCCCAAAAGAGTTGATTCCAGCAATCCTCTCCAGCAAACACTCCCAGGTCCTGAGCATATGTGGCCATCCACAGGCTAAGCTCAGGAACACTGACAAGTAGGGTCTAGACTGGAACTGAATGTAATAAGCTCAAATCCAAGCAGACCTCTGAGTGGCTTCAGTGCCTCCCTCAAGTTTTCTGGGCCTTCTGCCTCACCTTTAACAGAGGGACAATAAAAGCTACCTATTATCGCCAAAGTTAGACAATTCCTTGCTTTTTACTAATGGTGAAATCAAAAGGTAGGCAGTAGAAGGAAGGCACATCACCTGGCAAGGTGTTTTGCTGGCAACCGGTGACTAGACCCCAAATCCTTGTTCTCCTGTAGGCCTATCTTGCCCTCCTGGAATCCAGAGTGTAGTTGTAAGATAGTACTTATTAAAATAAATCACAAGAAAATTTTACCACCACTAAGCCATTGAATCACTGAGCAGTAGGGGAAATCAGACTTCTCATCTTCCATTTTTCTTTTTTTTAAAGATTTATTTTATTTTTTTATACAAGAGCTGGTGCGGGAGGGTGAGAGGATTCACCAGAGTCAGAGTGGGGAGTAGAACAGGCAGACGACCAAAATACACTGTTGGGGGGAGCAGTGGGCGAGACAGGAGAGGTCTGCCATGCCATGTGGATTTCTCCCTGGCCGGCCAGAAATCGAACCCATGCTGCAGAGGCTGCGGACAGCTTCACAGTGCTGCGCTCAACCTGCTGTGCCACTGGGGAGGCCCCTCAATTTCCATTTCTAGCAAAAATTCGCAGAGCTGGTGATGGTCACATCCCATGAATTTTACTGGTTTAGTTACACATGATAGATCCAAATACCGCGGGCCAAGTACTTTCTGCAGAAAATAAATGAATAACCATAGACTTTAAATAACTACATCTTCTCAAGCTCTGTAAATATCAACTAAGTCTCTTTCTGCTCAACCATCAGCACCTGTTAACACTTCTTAGCCAATTCCACTTCAGGTTGTATCGAATTAGTGTTTTCCCAACTTTTGGAAAGTATCCTCACCTGCACTTATTATTTGAGTACTCATGGAGGCTTTATTCCTTACTTGCTTCAAACTAGTATCAACTCCTGAAAAAACAACAGCTGAGCAGTGTCAGAGACACCTGCCACCTCCTGAAGGGGAAAGGAAAACCACTAAACATCACATGCCTTGTTTTTAAATTGACAATTGATGTTGTTCCTGAGGCCCCTAACTCTTTAAGCAACTATTCTTGCTGAAAGATTGGTCGTTTCAAACAAATTTAAATTCCCTGTTCATCACTCCTCAGCTGCTGCAATCAGGGATGATTTAATTAGTGCCCCATCACGAAATGGCTAACAAATGAGCCACTTTGATTGCAGTTTCATATTTGTGAAGAAATTCTGCAGTGATGAAATATTCTGCTTTCAATGCCTGAGTTTTCTTTTTTTCCTTTTTTTTTTTTAAAGATTTATTTATTTATACAAGCACTGGTTACAGTCAGAAGTGCGGGAGGGTGAGAGAATTCACCAGAGACAGAGGGGGGAGCAGAACAGGCAGACTGATGAAGTACACTGCTGAGGGGAGCAGCGGGCGGCAGGAGAGGTCTGCGCGCCATGTGGGACCCTCGCCCAGCAGCCAGGGATCGAACTGGTGCTGCAGAGGCTGCGGGCAGCTTCGCAGCCCAGCGCTCAACTGCTGTGCCACCAGGGGAGGCTCTGTCTGAGTTTTCTTATCATTGCTCTCCTGTGAGGTGGGAGCATGGCGCTGAATGCTTAGTCTAGTAAAGTTGTGTTGTGTCCTTTCAGCACAGCTACATACAGTGTCACTGAACGTAAGCACGGTGATTTGCTCTCTGATTAATAAAACATACCCCTCACTATAGCTTAATAGGGCAGCATGTGATGTCTGTTGCTCTTGTACATTGGTAATAAAAAAATAGGATGTCACTGTAGAATGAACATAAAACACTTGAGGAAGCCATCAGGTTATGAGCATGTCCCTGTAGTGGTCTGGGCAACAGCGCAAAGTTATAGAGCACAGCACATTGTGTTGCAGGGTCTTTGTGTGTGTGTGTTGCAGATTATACAACTCTGCAACACTGCAACACTAACTCTGCTGTTGTAGCTCAAAAGCAGCATGGCTGTGTCCGATATGACTGTATGGGTGCCAATATTTAAATTTTATGTCATTTTCACGACACAATATAGTCTCTGTAGGGTAAGTAAAGTATCAGGCTTTTCTGCCCTCCCACCGTTAGGATTGATGATGGATCCTTGCGGTCCTGAATGCATGCCTGATGGCGGGCACCTGGAGTAGGGTGTGGGCATAGGTAGATGGGATTCACGTGGGCTGAGACTGGGCTAATAAGGGCGGTGTCATGGGGACGCCAGCAGGAGCAGAGATTAGAGAAGCAGAGAGAATGAGAGCGAAAGAAAAGCAGAGCCACCAGAGTAACGCCAGAGAGCTCAGGTAGAATGAAGACTTGCTGGGGCTGGGAGGCCTGCCAGCCTCCCGCCGCACCCCCCACCCCGCCCCGCCCCAGCACCCCTGCTTGCTGTGTACCTGGTAAATCCCAATAAAAGTCTGAAAAGCTGAGGGCTCCAGGACTCCTCCTTTACCCCATCTGCTTGGATCATAGAGATCCTGCTCTGTGTCCTCCTGCCGCTACAGTTTCCTTTTGATTTTTCCCAATCATTTAGAGATGTAAAGACCTTTCTTTTAAGAGAATGAAAAGATAAGCCACAGACTGGGGGAAATTTTTGCAAACACATACTTGATAAAGACTTTCTTTTTTTATTGATTTACTTTTTAATTTATATCTTTTACAACATTGTGTAATCCCCATAAAATTCCTACCACCAACTCACCCATGAACCATCACCATAGTCCCTTGTGCTCTTCTCTCCCTGTTTTGATCCCTTTTCCTCCCCCTCCTTTGCAGAATGTCTCTGATTTATGGTTGCCTGCTAATTTATTATTATTATTTTTTTCTTGATCCTATTAGCGAAACCATTTGATATTTTCTTTTTCCTTCTGGCTCATTTCACTGAGCATGATCCCTTCTAGCTCCATCCATGTTGCTGCAAATGGCATGAGTTTTTGATAAAGACTTTCATCAAAAATGTACAAAGATTTTTACTTATTATAATCAACAAGCAACTATAAACCAGAGATACACTGGGGGGGTGGGGAGGAGAGTGGGATCAAAACAAAGGGGTCGGGAATTGTATGGGGACTATAACCAATGAAAATGCATACATTGTGCAAAAATGAAAGATGATGTAAAAAATATATAAAATAAAAAAGTAAGTACTTCTGGGGAAAAAATGTACAAAGAACTCTTAAAACAACAATGGGAAAACAATTGAAAATGGGCAAAAGACAGGAACAGACTCCTCACCAAAGAGTACCTACAGATGGCAATTAAACTTATGAAAAGCTGTTCAACATCACATGTCATTAAGGAATTTCATATCAGAACAACGAGCTACTGCTGTACACCTATGGAAAGATCTAAAACATTGACACCACCAATTACTGACAAAGATGGGGAGTAATAGGAACTCTTATTCATTGCCAGTGGGAATGCAAAATGACCCAACTGCTTTGGAAGACAGTTGGCAGTTTCTTGTAAAACTGCCCAAATAAGCTGCTGTTCCAGTCTAGACCCTACTTCTCAGTGTTTCTGAGGTTACCTGTGTGTGTTCACATATGCTCAGGACTCAGGGGTTCTTGCTGGAGAGGAAGATTCCTGGAATCAACTCCTGTGGGCTCTGATTGTTCAAGATTCAAGAATTTCGCCAGCCTCATTGTTAAATGGGTAGCTAGACATCTGCCATGGTGGAATCTCAGCAATCAGCAATCTCACTCCTTGGAATTTACTCAAATGTTTTGAAAGCTATGTCCATGCAAAAGCCTGCAGGTGGATATCTATAGGAACCTAACTCATAATTGTCAAAACTTGGAAGCAACCAAGATGTCCTTCAAAGGTGAATGGACAAATTGTGTTACATCCATAGAGTGGAATATCATTCTAAAAAAAGAAAAGAAACGAGCTAGCAAAACACAAAAGATATGGAGGAACCTTATATGTATATTGTCAAAGGAAAGAAACCAATCTGAAATTTATACTGCAAAAGTGATAATATGTGGCTCCACTATATGATAATAATCTGGAAAAGGTTAAGACTATGGAGATCTTTTTAGTAAAAGATCAATGATTGTCAGGGCTTCAGATGAGGGAGGAAAATGGTGAATAGGGTGCACAGGAGGGCTTTAGAGCAGTGAAACTATTGTATATGGTACAGCTATGGTGTATACAGAACTGTGTTCATATATACTGGGTGTGCCAGGCGACATATATGGTGCAGGGTAAATGGTTTTCCAGGCTTTTCTGCCCTCCCACCATTAGGATTGCCCAGCCTGATGGGGCAGCTGCAGTTGTCACATTGTTGCAAACTATCTTGTTTACTTCTGCGGTCCATGGGAGGAGTGTTGAGATAGTCACCAAGAGAAGAGAAACAGGAGAAGAGGCAGGAGAGAGAAGGGGAGAAAGAAGCCAGAGAAGCCCAGAGTGAAGACTTGGTGGTGGTGGGGGGCTTGGAGGCCTACTGGCCTCCTGGTCCCCCTGGCACCCCTGCCTGCGTGTGCCTATTTGCCACACTACATGTAAAGCTCAATAAAAGCCTGAAAAAGCCACCGAGGGCTCCAAGACTCTCCTTTACCTGTCTGCTGGATCTCAAAACCTGCTCAGTGGCCTTCCTGCCACTACATATGGCCTTATCCATTTGTGAAATCCATAGAATGTACAGGACAGAGTGAATGCTCATGTAATCTATGAACTGCAGTTAGTAATAATATACCAACACTGGTTTAGGAATTGTAACAAATGTACCACATCAACACAAAATGTGAATAATAGAGGAAAGTCTGAGTGGGGAAAGAAGGTATATGGGAACACTTTTACTTTCCTACTCAGTTTTGCTGTAGAACTAAAACTGCTATAAAAATAAGTCTATCTAATAAAATATTATTTCACGGTCTGTACAAGAACAGGTGGCAGACTGGGTTTGGCCCATAGGTCATAGTTTGATGATTCTTAATCTAACCCATAGTATTAGTAGTAGTGTTGAAAAATGTATTTTGGGACCTCCCCGGTGGCGCAGCGGGTTGAGCGCTGCGCTGTCAAGCTGTCCGCAGCCTCTGCAGTGCCGGTTTGATCCCCGCTGGCTGGCGAGAATCCACATGGCGCAGCAGACCACTCCTGTCGTGCCCGCTGCTCCACTCAGCAGTGTATTTCTGTCTTCTGCCTGTTCTGTTCCGAACCTGCTCTCTCTCTGGTGAATCCTCTCACCCTCCTGCGCCTCTGGCCTATACCCCAGCTCTTGTATAGAAATAAATATTTTTTAAAAAAGTATTTTGGATATCTTAAGTGTTTACAAAATTTAAGAGAATTTTACAATTTACTTAAAATATGTACTTGAATAATTGATTTAGGCTTATGATTTTAAGTTGAATGTTATTAAGTTTGAAGATTGCTAAATATTTGGGAGCATTTAAGATTAATCATTTTTACAAGTTTGGAAGATTGATGAGATATTTTAAGGACTCTAGAAGGCCTTGTTTGTTAAGGCAATTCAAGCATTTTTAAAAGTTATACATCAAATTTATAAATGCTGCTTGAAATAAATGTTTAATGGATTTTAATTAAGTTTGAAGTGGAGCAACTGCTAATCTAAATCAGTTTAAAGTGATTAACATTTGCTAAACTTAAAAATAGTATATCTGTGAACTGAATGTAAGAAGAGCTTAATAATGTTTTTAAAAAAGGCTTAAGATAATCAAGTGCAATATGTGGATCTGGACTCTAATTTGCATAAATTAACTTTTAGAAAAAAGGGGAACAATCAGGGAAATTTGAACACTAGATATTCAATAGCAGTAAAGAACCATTCTGAGAGCAAGGTGTTGTAGCTAAATTAAAAGGCAAAAAAAAAAAAGAATGCTCATATCTTAGAGATATGTACTCCAGTTTTTAAGACTGAAATGACATACTATTTGGGATTTGCTTGCCAAGCTGTCAAGCTGACTGGAAGGGGTGGGGAGCAGGGGTGCTACATGACATATAATGTATATTGTCAGCATATATCGCATATCGGCTATAGATTGATCACTGCTTTCATTGATAATGGTACATGAGATTCATTTTATTATCTTTTTTTTTTTTAAAAAGATTTATTTATTTATTTATACAAGCACTGGGTACAGTCAGAAGCATGGGAGGGTGAAAGAATTCACCAGAGCCAGAGCAGGGAGCAGAACAGGCAGAAGGACCGAAGTACACTGCTGAGGGGAGCAGGAGGCGGCAGGAGAGGTCTGCAAGCCATCTGTGACTTTCGCCGGTGGCGGGGGATGGAACCGGCGCTGCAGAGGCTGCAGGCAGCTTCACAGCCCAGTGTTCAACCACTGTGCCACCGGGGGAGGCTCTTATTTTATTATCTTCCTTTGAGTATATTTGGAATTCCTATGATGCAAAGTTCAAAAACCAAAAAGCTTAAGGAAGAAATAAAATTTTAACTAGTTTCATATTAATTCAACCCCCCTAGTAACTTTTTTTAAAAAAAGATTTTATTCATTCATTTATACAAGAACCAGGGTATAGGCCAGATGCACAGGAGGGTGAGAGGATTCACCAGAGACAGAGCGGGGAACAGAATAGGTAGGCTGATGAAATATACTGCTGAGGGGAGCAGCCGGGGAGAGGAGAGGTCTGCCGTGCCATGTGGGACCCTCACCGGCTGGCTGGGATTGAACCGGCACTGTAGAGGCTGCGGACATCTTCACAGCGCTGCGCTCAACCGCCTGTGCCACCAGGGGAGGCCTGATCCCTAGTAACTTTTAAGTCCTGCTTTCTGGGTACAAAGCCACTGTCAAAGGAACCATCAAAGCTCAGATTGAACTGCGCACACTTTTTCAGGCCCCTGGGACAGGTGAGGCATGGGTGGATAGGCTGAGTAGGAAGTAGGGTGCTTTGTGCTCATGGCACTTTGTGCCAGGGTGAAGAGGCAGCCTGTTTTGCTGAGGTCTACTCCAGGCCATTCACAGGGGATGAGGCAACAATGGTCAGTCCTGTTCATTCTGTCTGTGAGGTTGGGTGTGTTACCTGGCCCACCAGCAGTTACTGGTTCAGGGAAGAGAGATCAGCCTCATTCTGGGAGCCTGCTTGGGTAGAAATCTGAGGTCCCCTCTCCCTACTTACATGATCACAGCAGACCTCCTTAGAGTGTCTGCCATTGAGTTTTGAGGAGTATAACCTGGCCTCATCTAGTCTCATCCTTTTTGTAAGGTCATGGAAGAGATTGCTTCCCAGGAAAAAAATATTACAGTTCTTGAAAAAGCCATTCTTGACCAAGAAGGACCTGCCAAGGTGGCTCACACACGCCTGGAGACCAGGACACATCGGCCTAACGTGGAGCTGTGTCGCGACGTTGCTCAGTATAGACTGATCAAGGAGGTTCAGGAGATCACCAACAATGTTGCAAGGTAGGAGGCAGCCAGAGGGGAGGGTCACTGGGGGCCATTCAAACCTGGCAGGTAACCAGGGGCAGGGCAGTGCCATCGTGGGAGAAGCCTGCCAAGCATGCACGCACTTGGATCTGTAAGTTTGAGGAGTCTTTTTTGCAGGGGTCAGTCTCTACCAACTCCAGCCAACTGGGAAATGGATGCCAATGCTTATGTTTTCCCAAAGAAGTCCAAATCCAGATGTGTGGGTAAAAATCTGCAGTTTTAAATGCTGGACATTTATGGGGTTATATGTCCTGTAATCTGGCCCTTAGTGTCTGGTTTGAAATCTCTGCCTTGGGCCTCTCTGGTGGCGCAGGGGTTAAAGTCAGTGCTATCAAGGTATCGCCAGCCATGGCAGGACGAGCTGGATCCCTGGCCAGGGAGCAACCCCCATGGCACAGCAGACCTCTCCTGTCTCGCCCGCTGTTCCCCTCAGCAGTATATTTCAGTAGATCTGCCTGTTCTGCTTCCCACTCTGTGTCTGGTGAATCCTCTCACCCCCACTTCTCCCCACACCTCTGGCTTACATCCCAGTTCTTGTATGCATAAATAAATAAATTAAATCTTTAAAAAAAAATGAAATCTCTACCTTGAGGGGGAGAGCAGAAGACATGTCAATTTGGCTTCTGCACTGAATACTTTTTTTTTTTAAATCCTGAAAAAGAGGTGCAGAGAGAGAAGTGACTCCTTTTTATTTTTTCTTTTCTCCTAGATTAAAGGAAACATTAGCCCAAGCTCAGGTGGAGCTGAAAGGGCTGAATCGTAGACAGCTTGCCCTGCAGGAGGAGATCCACATCAAAGAGAACACCATCTACATCGATGAGGTGCTGTGCATGCACATGAGGAAGTCCATCCCCCCGCGGGATGGGGACAGCCAGGGGTTGTGGGCCGGGGGCCTCTACCCTGATGCTGTCTGCTAATCGGAGGGCTTGTTCAGATGTCAATAAACCATGTCATAAACAATAATGAAGGGCGCCCAATTCCAGTCTGCTTTGTCAGGCTAAGGTCTGGCCTGAAGGCTTTATTCTGTTGCTGCTGCTGATGTGGTGGTGTCCTGACAGTTCACTTCCATATATGAGCACAGGCCTGCCTGATAGTATTATAGCAGTTTGGGGTTTTGGGGGAGGTTCAGGAGGTTCGCCAAGACATCTTAGTTCAGATTCATTTCAATTCAGTAGTAGGGCTGGATCTTCTCTTCAGATCATGCCTATCTTATTCACAAGGGGATGCAACATTTCTATTTTTTTTAAGATTTATTTATGCATACAAGAGCTGGGGTACAGGTCAGAGGTGCGGGGGGGGGGGGTGAGAGGATTCACCAGAGACAGAGCGGGGAACAGAACAAGCAGACTGACTGAAATACACTGCTGAGGGGAGCAGTGGGCAAGACAGGAGAGGTCTGCTGTGCCATGTGGGTAGCTCCCTGGCCAGCCGGGGATTGAACTCGTGCTGCAGTGGCTGTGGATAGCTTCACAGGTTGCGTCTTAACCCCTTGCGCCACCAGGGAGGCCCATGGACGCAACATTTCTCAGTGCCTTTTCACATGCAGTGGCCTCTCTCCTGAGTGAAACAAAGAGGCTAGGAGAGGCCAAAGAGACCTTCCAGCCCTTGGTCGATCTGGTGGGGGAACGAAGAGCGGGTGAGCCTGCTGTGGTCCAGGGTTGCCAGGCACCAGGAGGGCCTCTCTGCTTCACAAGCTGGGCTCCAGGGCACGGCGTGTCTGCAGTGGTGGGGGCCCTGGGGGACAAGCTCTCAGTGAGCTCCGGGAAGGTTGGTAATGGACTTGCTCCATGACAATGGCACTTGGTCACTGTCCAGGGTCGTACTTGCTGCCATCTGGCGGAGACAATGTAGTTTAATTCAGAAGAATAGCTCCCCAACGTCGCTTTTCTCCACATGAAACTTTGGTTGTCTAATTCTCCGCCGTTAGCGGCAGTGTGATTTTCCCTCTTCCCGGTTGTTAATTTTGTCATTGGATAATTCCTTATGCCACTGTCACTCTGGTTTGAAAATCTCACACACACAATTGCTGTGATTTCTAGCCCTGGGGAAATGCCAATACCAGTCATGGCCTCAGAAAAAATTCCTGAGATTCCCTTGAAGACAGAATATTAGAACATTAAAAAAGTTCCATATGCAATTTCTCAGGCAATTGAACAGTCCACTCTTGCACATTGGTGAGAGGGTGTTTGCTAAATGAATGCCTGTAAGGTGCAGGAAACAGGCTGGTTATTGTTCCCTTCATCCATCAAAACAAAGAAGTGATGGATTCTTGGCTAATTGGCTCCTAGCCTCGCTGATGGCAGTGGGAGTGGGGAGGGGAGCTCCCTCATCTGGGAAGTAAAGCCCAGGCTTGTATTCCTGAGAAAGTGAAAAGCCAGCCTGTGCCACGTGTGTTACGTTAAGTCAGTCGGTCAGTCGGTTGATCGATTGAGGTGTTGCCCGGTGATTGGATTTGTTCTTTTCCTGCATAGTTACCCAAAGACAGATTGATGCTCAAAATCAGAAAACTTAAACATTTAGATTTGGGGTCAGTGTTTGGCAACACATTCGCTCAGGCCATACCTATTACAGGTGATCTTCCCAGCGGCATTAGGACCCAGCTTTGGTTCTGTCTGGGGGCCATTTAGAAGTAGTTTTTACTTAGTGCCCGGCCTTGATTCGTTCATAATTCAGTCCTGCTGTGGCTGATGTAGAGTTGCCTTGGCCTCGGGGCATCCCAGATAATCAAATAATGGCTAATAATGACCATCTGTCACACTGCACTGTAGCCCACAGTTCACAAAGTGACTTCCCATCTATTTTCTCATCAAATCCTCAGAACACCTCAGAAGGGGCTGGTCTTGTCCCCAGTTTCATTTTACAGATGAGATGTAGTCGTTGAGGGCAAACCAAAAAAGGTTCAAATCCTGACTGTCATTTACTGTGCCACTTTGGACAAGTTACTCAACCTCTCTATGCATCTCATTTCCTGCTGCCCACACTATCCTTTTCTGGTGTGGACTTGCCATTCCAGGTACTGATATAAAGGAGCTTTGCAAAACTCTCATGGTTTCTGATGGGTCAACAATACATCCAGGAATGTCCTCTTCTTGGCAAATATAGATTACTTCCAGGGACACATCTCTAGATGCAGATTTCTTCCTATCAGGGAAGGAGATACGTGCCAAGATTAAAGGTTTTAAAGATTGCTGTCAAGTTTCAAATCACTGCTTTCTAAAAAGTCTGCACCGGAGTCTTAGCAGGGAGTTACGTAAGCCACAGCCCAACACGTGGCACAAATAATGAACAGTATGAGGATCACACGCCAGCTCTGGTCTGTAGCTCCGTATGTGTCGCTTTGGGAAAGTTCATCAGCATCTCTGATCATCACTTTCCTGATCTGTAACTCAGAGGAAGAATATGGGCAATTCGGTGGGTGTTTGTGAAGATAAAATGAGACCTTGATTGTAAACTACCTAGTACAGAACTGTGTAGTAAGTGCTAAATAAATGGTAGGCAGCATTGTTATTTTAAGCAAGTAGTTTCTAATATGCTAAAAGGAGGCATCTGTGAACTAAGAGGAAAAATTGAAAAGTAGCACCAGAGCTTCAAAGAAAACAGATTTAAAAATCATTCATCTCATTTACTGAGCACCTGTCATGTGGCAGGTGCCCCAGAGAGACAGGGAAGCTAGAACGACAGAGTCGTGCCGTGATGGAGGCAGGAACAGGTGGCTGTGAGAACAGCTGTGAGGATTCCTGGAGGGAACGACACTAAAGCTGAGAATTGGGCGAAGGCGGTAATAGTGGCAACAAACGTTACCCACCAGTGAGCTCCTATGCAACGTGATGGGAATTAACATAGTCGAGAAGAAGGGTAGGAAGGCAGACGCAGCAAGGGGGAGACTGTGCCAAGAAAAAGAAACTTGAAAGAGCAGGGCTCTATTGGCCAGTGCAGATGGGGGAGGGCAGAGGTTGGAATCAGAGGCTCCAAGCCATGGAGGAGGGCCAGTAGTGCAGCTAGACATAACCAGAGACCAAGATGAGAGGCCTGACTAGCAGAGAAAGCACAGTCCAGACATGTCTGGGACTTAGGTGTCTCGGTGACCCCTTAGAAATACGGGGCGAGGGAGAGAGAGGAATCAAGGCTGGCCTGTTGGCCCCCAACTGAGAGTTCTCACCACACTTGAACTAACTTCCCAGCCACCCCGGTAACTTCTTCCTTGAGAAACGCACCCCAATATCTATATCGTCGTATCTCATGTGTTCCACAGTCATGTACTTGATACGACACCCACACCCCCACACCCCTGCCACCACTCATTGGTCTAGTTGAGCTGTTCAGAGTCGGCCTCCTGGGAATTGGGATTTTAAAAGTGGAAACATGGAGACTGGCAGGGATTTGAGGGCCTGGGGAGGATCACGAAGTCTTGTGACTATGATCCTGTTAGCTGCCCTGGGTCTGCTCACGCAAAGGGTTGAACAGCCATTCTTTCTGTGAGATGCTCCAATGCACCCCTTTTCTTGACTCAGACACCCAGAAGCTTGTTGCTATTACACTTGCCCCTTTAGGAACCGTAACTGGTAGACATTGAAGGAAAGAGTGAGTGGCTTTGCTGGGACCCAAGAACTCAAGCAGGGCTCTAGGTAGGTGGCAGGGGACTTGTTGCTTATGTTGAAATTCCTGAACTCTGCTGTGCACATTACCCTTGGGGGGCCTGTCTCTCCCCAACCATAGCATTCAGCTGGGAACATCATATTTGCATCACTGGCCCCGCCCCTCCCCTTGATGGGCCAGAGCGAGCTGTTAATGGAAGCAGAGCCAATGAGCTCCTCACCTGAGGAACCTGGACTTGGGACTAGGATATTTCACTTCCCCTGCCTCCCCTGCAGCTGCTCTCTTGGATGGAGATTTAGGCTTCAGCATAAGGATGACAGCTGCTGTCTCTCATGGGACAGGAAGCAGGAAACTAGTTTGCAGCAAGAGAAAAATTAGAAGCCGGCACAGCAAGAGGAAGAAAGAAGAAAGAACTCCCTGCAACTCTCCCTTCCTCAGCTCCAGGCTGTTTCTGGGGCTCCCGGGTTCCGACAGACAGTCAAGCACCCTCAGATGGCATTCCCCTTTCTGATCACTGATACCCAGTGGCTTTTGCGTGGCTGCCACCCAAGTGAGTTGTAACTTGGGTCATGCTGCTTGACTGGATGAGTGTGCGGAGACAGGTGGGCGATGGCGGTGCCCCTGAGTAGGATCTGATGGAGGAGTAGACATTTGCTGGGTAGAAAGGGAGTGGAGCATTCCAGGGAGAAGCACAGCATGCACAAAGACAGGTGTAAAGGGCAGGACTGGACACAGTGCAGGTTTTCTGATCCCATGCAGACCGGGTAAAGGAGGAGTCAGAGTCCTCAGTAGTTTTGCTGGTTTTTTATTTGGGATTCACCAGGCATATGGCAGGCAGGGGTGCTGGCTGGGGGGCTGGGAGGCAGGCAGGCCTCCCAGCCCCCAGCAAGTCTTCACTCTATCTGGGCTCTCCGGCCTTCTCTGCTTCTCTTTAGGCTTCTGCTGCTGCTTTCTCGGCTTCTCTTTCGGCTTCTCTTTCAGCTTCTGCTGCTGGTGTCCCCGTGACGCCGCCCTTAAAAGCACAGTCTTAGCTCAGCTGAATCCCATCTACCTATGCCCACACCCTATTCCAGGTGCCCGCCATCAGGCATGCATTCAGGACCGCCAGGATCCATCATCTATCCTGATGGCGGAAGGGCAGAAAAGCCTGATATTTTCTTTACCCTACAACAGGGGTCTCAAACTGCTGAATCGTTTCCCAAGAAAGGCATGTGGGTCCCTGTATAGGACATTATAATCTCAAATCAAAACCAAAGAGGACTTGTTATATGGTAATCAGGATATACCACTGGTAATCTCAACAATTATGACAACCGTTAACATGCTCAGTGCTTATAATGAGTTTATGCAAACTGTTATTATC